GCCACTTGGTTCTTCCTGTGACAGATGTAATCCTCAAACCTTTCGCCGATCCGCGGTGCTGAGCAGTGAATGGCTGCCAGGAGCTTCTAGAGCCACACTGGAACACAACTGGAAGTGATGTCAAGGGGGCGGTAATGCGTTTTGGAGCATGCACTATTGCTCCTTCCTTAGACTTAACGTCCAGGACATTAGGACAGCCACATATGGGAGCAATAGGAAGTGGAGCTGGGGAGGTGATTGGCTAAGCAATCTCCGCTCAGGATCAATAAACTGCACATACAACGTGCTAATATATGGAGTGAAAATATGCACACAAGCTGGCTATTATATAACAATTAGACTTCTATTTATATATATATATATATATTATATATATATATATATGTATATATGTAGCAATTTATGGCACATATAGATAATTAAGAACACGTGCATATATAAAAATATTTAGGACATGTATATACACATATACTGACACATATGAAAGATGCAGAGATGGGGCTATATACATACTGCATCATTAAAATGCAACATCCATATAAGCGTTCATATATATTAGTACTGCATAATATTACTGATGGACGAGATATAAAAAAAGATGGATGATCTAAAATTATTGTATATAGAGGAAATTAAAGGGGAGTAGATGTATTAAGAATATAAATCAAGTCTGACCTAAAAATATGTGATAAAACACGATTGAGAGAAATTTCTTATCTATATACAAACTTACTGTGTGGAATATGTTGCATTTCAAAAATTATCCAATTAAATAGAATGAAGATCAAAATTACATAACCTGAAATAAAAGAAAATATACAATGTGAATATTTGTTTATATCAACTACTGATCTATTAACTATATGACTGTATTTATTTCCAGCTCTTCATCAAGGCCACCAGGAGACAAGGTATCTAGGGCATATATGCAGAATCTTTCTGACAAAGTTTCTGGAAACGTACGGCTAACGGGAGCTTCCTAGGCATCGCCTCAATAACCCAAACTTTTAAGTTTTCCGTGGATTTTGCATGGTATTCTAAAAAATGTCTGGGCACACTGTGCTTATCTTTACCATTTTCAATTAAGCGGCAATATTCACCAAAACATTTATGTAGTGTTCGTGTTGTCCTGCCAACATATAACAGGCCACAAAGGCAGGATAAAAAGTATACCACATATTCAGATGAGCAAGTGTGGAATCCCTTTATCTGATATGACTTACCCTTAGTATGGAGATTTTTTTGGCCATGTTCAATGAAATGGCACATTTTGCATAGAGGTTTACAGCATTCGAACATGCCTTCTATGGAAAGGAAAGTGGGTATAGTGGTATTATTAGGTCCCGGTATAGATTTTAATTTGCTTGGTGCGAGTTTACTTTTAATATTAGGGATCTTCCTGTAGGAGAATTTGGTCTATCAGCTATGGAGTTGCTAAGGAACTGATCCTGCTTTAATATTGCCCAGTGTTTACATATGATAGAATACATCTGTTTATGACGTGAATAGAATTGGGTAGTAAAACGGATGTCTTGGGTGTCCGTATTAGTGGGTTGTTTAGTTTTAGATAGGTTGCCTGTGTACTGGATAAAGGCTTCATCTATGATATCGGAGGTGTGGGGGGGGGGGGGGGTATTTGTTCTTAATAATTGAATAATAATAATCACAAAATTATTCTTAAGAATATTACTGTGGGCTATGTAATCATTCAGTCTTCAATACCAGAGCAGCCTACACATCTTTTGCATTATCAGAGGAGAATGGACAGACTGATTGCAGATGGTAGGGATAGAATTTGGTGTAAACAACATTAAAGCATGGATCCATCCTACCTTGTATCAATGGTTCAGGCTGGTAGTGGTGGTGTACTGGTGAGGGGCATATTTTCTTGGCATCAGCAAGGTATAATAAAGTGGCCAGTGAGTGTATATTTATTGGATTATGTTTTAATTTTGGTTATAGAAATTTTTTTTTGGATTAGTTTTGAGGATTATCACATGAATTGGTTTATAAAGTGAAGTGCCTACACTTTACTAATTACTATAGGTCTAAAGGTGCTTCACACATCTTAAAGGGGCAGCTACACTATTGATATTACTATTGGAGTTGTGCACCTTATATAATTTTGTATTGGTAACCACCTGATCATGTTTCTCTGCCCCACACCCACCTCATAGTTGCAAATCCATAGTGTTGTTTTGATGTATATAACAGTGCCAGGGATCTTGGGTGAGGTAATGATGTCTCCCAGATTTCGGTTCAGCATCCAGGGATTCTGTGAGTGGACTGGACAACTTGGGCCAAATAGTTTGCCCAGTCTGCGAATGGCAAAAGGGCAGGGTTTAGGTTGAACTCTAGGAATCCCTTCCTTTGATTATGACAGAAATTTAGAACAGGACTGTATCCTGTGCTATTGTGGGTATAGCATTGAGGGTGGGTTTGATTAGTTTAGCAAAGGTCAACAGGACAGAGCTGACACCACTCCAGTCCACAAAAATGATTTTTTGGGGTCAATCCACAGGACTTAGGAGTTGAGTGCATTAATGGCATAAACAGAGCAGATACTATATTTTTCGGAAATTGCAGGGTTCTTAAAAGGATGAAACAGGTAAAATGTGCGTGTATTAAATATACACGTGAAGCTCGAAAAATTAGAATATTGTGCAAAAGTTCATTTATTTCAGTAATGCAACTTAAAAGGTGAAACTAATATATGAGATAGACTCATTACATGCAAAGCAAGATAGTTCAAGCTGTGATTTGTCATAATTGTGATGATTATGGCGTACAGCTCATGAAAACCCCAAATCCACAATCTCAGAAAATTAGAGAATTACATGCAGTCAATAAAACAAGGATTGTACATAGAACAATATCGGACCTCTGAAAAGTATAAGTATGCATATGTACTCAGTACTTGGTTTGGGCCCCTTTTGCAGCAATTACTGCCTCAATGCGGCATGGCATGGAAGCTATCAGCCTGTGGCACTGCTGAGGTGTTTTGGAAGACCAGGATGCTTCAATAGCGGCCTTCAGCTCTTCTGCATTCTTCGGTCTCATGTCTCTCATCTTTCTCTTGGCAATGCCCCATAGATTCTCTATGGGGTTCAGGTCAGGCGAGTTTGCTGACCAATCAAGCACAGTAATCCCACGGTCATTGAACCAGGTTTTGGTGCTCTTGGCAGTGTGGGCAGGTGCCAAGTCCTGCTGGAAAATGAAGTCAGCATCCCCATAAAGCTCGTCTGCAGAAGGAAGCATGAAGTGCTCCAAAATCTCCTGGTAGACTGTGGACCAACACTAGCAGATGACATGGCTCCCCAAATCAACACAGACTGTGGAAACTTCACACTGGACTTCAAGCATCTTGCAGTGTGTGTCTCTCCATTCTTCCTCCATACTCTGGGTCCTTGGTTTCCAAATGAGATGCAAAAGTTGCTCTCATCAGAAAAAAGGACTTTGGACCACTGAGCAACAGATCAGGTCTGTTTTTTCTTTAGCCCAGGTAAGAAGCTTCTGACGTTGTTTGTTGTTCAGGAGCGGCTTGACAAGAGGAATACGACATTTGAAGCCCATGTCCAGGATCCGTCTGTGTGTGCTGGCTCTTGATGCACTGACTCCAGCCTCAGTCCACTCCTTGTGAAAGTCCCCAACACGTTTGAATGGCCTTTTCCTGACAATCCTCTCCAGGCTGCGGTCATCTCTGCTGCTTGTGCACCTTTTTCTTCCACACTTTTCCCTTCCACATAATTTTCTATTACTGTGCTTTGATACAGCACTTTGGGAACATCCAACTTCTTTTGCAATTACCTTTTGGGTCTTTCCCTCCTTATGGATGGTGTCAATGATGGTTTTCTGCACAACTGTCAGGTCAGCAGTCTTTCCCATGATTGTGATTTCTACTGAACCGGACTGAGAGACCATTTAAAGGCTCAGGAACCCTTTGCAGGTGTTATGGCTTAATTAGCTGATTAGAGTGGGACACTTTGAATGGAGAATATTGCACCTTTTCACAATATTCTAATTTTCTGAGATTGTGGATTTGGGGTTTTCATTAGCCATAATCATCACAATTATGACAAATCACAGCTTGAACTATCTTGCTTTGCATGTAATGAGTCTATCTCATATATTAGTTTCACCTTTTAAGTTGCATTACTGAACTAAATTAACTTTTGCACAATATTCAAATTTTTTGTTTCACCTGTATGTACTGGTTGTGTGTTTTCGTTTTTTTTTTATTTTGTACTGACATACACTTTACCTCTATCCAGTTCTGTTAAGCAAAGACTGTGTGTGCGTATAGAAATGTGTGGCATATACTGTATGTATTGTAGGTGCTGACAAACAGCAGTGAAAGGGACACTGTACTACTAAGTAGGGAATAATACTGTGTGATGGAACGTCTGTCACCCAGATTGGGTGATTCCGCCAGAGAACCACTTCCTCGCCACTGGGACACAGGACCAAGATATTATAGCTGGGCATCACACCCAAGACTTGACAAGAATAGCTTAGACGCCAAACTGGAACTCTTTATTAACCACTAGCCTACGGGGCACTTATACCCCCTTCCTGCCCAGGCCAATTTCCAGCTTTCAGCGCTGTCACACTTTGAATGACAATTGCGCGGTCATGCAACACTGTACCCATATGAAATTTTTAGCATTTTTTTGAGACAGATAGAGCTTTATTTTGGTGGTATTTAATCACCTCTGGGATTTTTATTTTTTCTTTTAACCAAAAACCACTGAAAATTTAAAAAAAAAAAACATTTGTTCTTAGTTTTTGTTATACAGTTTTGTAAATAAGTGATTTTTCTCCTTCACTGATGTGCGCTAATGAGGCTGCAGTGATGGGCACTGATAGGCTGCACTGATGGACACTGATAGGTGGCACTGAAGAGGAGGCACTGGTAGGTTACACTGATGGGCATTGACAGGCTGCACTGATAGGTGGCACTGATGAGGAGGCACTGGTAGGTTGCACTGATGGGCATTGACAGGCATCACTGATGGGTACTGAAAGGCAGCACTGATACATGACACTGATATATGGCACTGTTAGGCGGCACTGACTGGCACTGTTAGGCGGCACTGACTGGCACTGTTAGGCGGCACTGACTGGCACTGTTAGGCGGCATTGATTGGCAGCACTGATAGGTGACACTGATTGGCAGCACTGATAGGTGGCACTGATTGGCATTGATAGGTGGCACTGATGGGTGACATTGAAAGGCGGCACTGATGGGTGACATTGAAAGGCAGCTCAGATGGGCACTGATATGTGGCATGGATGTGCACTGGTATGCACTGATATGTGGCATTGATGTGGCACTGATGGGCACTGGCACGTGGCACTGATGAGCACTGACAGGTGGCACTTCTGGGGCCACACTGATCATCAGAGCACATTGGTCATCAGTGCCCTGATGATCAGTGTACATGTCCCCTCCGCAGAAAGCCAATTACCGGCTCTCCTCTCCTCTCGAGCTGTCAGCGTGACAGCTCGAGAGGAGAGAAATGCCGATAACCGGCATTTCCGTGTTTACATGTGATCAGCTGTGATTGGACCAATCACATGACCAAGCCGACATCTTCGGCTCTTTCCGTGATCTTCCGTGACACAGCGCACCGGCGATCGCCGCGCTGCACGCTCCCTGAGCCAAGCATGCGCAGTGAGAATGGTAGGACGTCATATGATGTCCTCTCAGAACGAGAGAACCACCTTGAGCCCGTCATTGTACTATAGGGCAGGCGGAAGGTGGTTAAACAGAAAACACATGTTTTTATACACGCCAGAAATAGGGGCAATGCTCACAGTTACAATAAACACAAATATTATACATTAGGACAAGCATCCCACACTGATTAGGTAAGAGCTTGATCACATTATCCTAAACAATGCAAATGGTAAACAGTACAGCCAACAGTGATCTAATCAACAGCCAAGCACCTAAACAATGCTTTGATTAATCAAGGAGCCCATAGCTAGTGATGGGCTGCATGTTACCGTTCGTGTGTGTTCGCACATAAATAGTAGGGTGTATGGACTCACTAAATGGCTGTATACTGGGATGCATGACGCTCGTCCTTACTGCAATGAACAGTCCTCAATGGGAAACCATGCTGCCATTAGATGTTATAAGTCCATACACCCTACTATTTATGTGCGATATGGCACCTTCCTAAGGACGGACAGTCACTAATTCATAGGGTGAATATATCCCCTGCAAGGTCATATACTGCTGCTAAGGACTTTCTTCCATTCATGCATTTGACTGGATCACCCAGGTCCACCTTGGCAAACAGGGCATTGGTGTCTCCTTGCAAGCAATTACTTCAATTTACTGCAAATATGTACCATTGCTGTCATCAATAATTTCAGAGAGTTGCTACCTCATATTCATGCATGTCTGAGGTTGTCTATCTTGTTATTCATTGAACTGAGTTGCATATTCAATGATTCCACCTTGGACTATACGCTCTATCTATTCCATCTATTCTAGTGAATGGGACTATTCCATGTTTAGATTGCAGCTTAGCAGATGACAGTATTGAATCACTGCCATGCTGCTAAATTCTATTTGCTCTTGACGTCATTTTTATTTTATGGTTATACAGACAACGTTGTCTGGGGGTGACGTAATGGTTACTAAGTGTATTAAATTCTCTTATATGTACAATTGGCTATTTTTGCATATGCCTATCGATATTATAAAGTATCATATTTATACACTGGTTGTGTGTTGGTCTACCGCATTGTCCTTCTATGTAACCGCTTTGTGAACAGCCTGTTCACTTTATATTTTAGGTTGTGGGGTAGAGGCCCTTGTCCCCATCAACATGGGGACAAAGTGCTTTGGAGGGGGAGCCCCCCTGCCCCAAAGCACCCTCCCCCATGTTGAGGGCATGTGGCCTGGTATGGTTCAGGGGGGGGAGGTGCTCGCTCACCCCCCCCCCCTTTCCTGACCTGCCGAGCTGCGTGCTCAGATAAGGGTCTGGTCTGGATATTGGCGTGGGGTGTTCCCCTCAAAATCCATACCAGACCCGACAGCTGAAACATGAATGAATGTTTCACTACTAAAATACCACATGACTTATCAAAATAACTCATGTGGTATTTTAGTAACTGAGCGGAATCTTACCGCATACTCAGATGCAGTAAGATACCACTCAGTAAATTGTCCCTGTTCTAAGTTCGCGGCTGAACTTTCGATAGGTCAGAGGGGTGTTCAGCCCATAACTACCCACCACAGACAGCTAGCGACAAACCCACCCCCCGAATATACAAAGTACATTACACATGCTGTCTTTCAGGTGTTTGCTTTCATTTGTATATCTGTCCATCTCATAAGACAAAACTCATACAGTATTCCAACAGTCTGAAAAGTGGAATTAGTTTATCTTTCTAGATTTCCTGAGGGAGATTGTTGATAAATATTTATGTCCCAAATAGAGGAGCTTCTTCAACCCAGTCTGCTTGAGGGCCACCATATTTCCTCTGACCAGTAACCTTTACTCGTTCTAGTGGTAATGAAATTTGCAGATAAAAGGAGTCTCCTGTAATAGAACAGATAAACAGCATGTTGCCATAATTTTTCATTTGTGGGAAAATGGGGCTAGAATAACAATTAACCTCCCTAGCGGTCTGATTATGTCCATATTTCTGTGCTCAAAGTGGTACTTTTTTTTGCATGGAAATATGTTGTTTTTTATTGTAGGCCTGTAATTTTTAGGAATAACTCACTGAAATCTGTCCAAACAAGAGTCTAGCAAACATCCCGGGTATGATAAAATTTGAAACACGAAATCATAAATTATAATAATCATAAAAAATAATAATAATAATAATAATACATTTAATTCAATAATATAATCAAACCAAAAACACTGAAATTGGAAATATAGTGCCAAGTTCGCACATCACTGAGCTTAGTCGCAAAATCGTTTTCAGTGTCTGATGATGAATTTCCCCACGAATCATTATCACTCAATTCTGCAAGTGGTTCTGATTTACTATCGCTGTTCTCTAGCTGGTCTAAAACCGTTTTTGACCTAAAGAGACACTTTTTGGACGCCATGGACTTTTCTCAGTTTCCAGGCAGAAAGAACAGTAAAAATGCAGGCAGGGCACAGGACAAAGCAGTAGGGACAAAATGTATGAGAAATTCTTTGTTACCGTAATGTTTTACTATGTGATTTTAGTGTATTGAGTGAATGTCACTTTTAAAATGTTTGAATTTCCCACCGGTTCTGGCCCCCGTACATCCCGACGCTCGCAGGGAATGGAACCCGGAAGACAGATGTCGGCTTCGGTCGGAGGAGATGGCCGGGGACATCGCGGGAGTGCAGAACAAGGTAAGTGAAACAGGGATCCCAGAGTAATGCTACAGGGTTACTGCTTTTGGTACTGCTTTTGGTACTGAAAGTTTACCCTGAGCTACACTCGGGAATACCTCCAGGGAGGTTAACCTGTCAAACTGAATGTGCAAGATGTAAACTATATTTGTTTCCTGTTTAACTGTGTATTTTTTCTGTTTCCATTGTACAGGACTCTAGAATGTAATAGTTCTTATTTTAATTGGCTTCATCCTGTTCGTAAACTATTTCATTTAAACTTGCTGGCAGTCACTTCACGTTCAGTTCATATTTGTAAATGTTTGCTGTACAGCTAAGTATCGTTTGTCCAATGCAAATTTAAAGGTCAGTACACTAATAAAAGCAGTTGTTTATCTTGGTGGAGTCTTTGGCAATATTTTTTCACACAATGTCAAATAGTTTAAATAAGTGTACAAAGCTGTTACAATGAATACCAGGTGATATGTAACAATGAATGTCAGCTGAATTGTAACAATGAATGTCAGGTGAATTGTAACAATGAATGTCAGGTTCCTGTGAAAACTCAGTTAATGTCCCCCTCTTTATAACTGTAAATGTGGCCAGGCTGCAGACTATAGTATACAATATGTTCTTTTTTTGGTGTATTGTTCCATATTTAGTGCTTCAGCAATGGCTGAATTAACATATACTAGAGGGTTGGGCTCAGGGCTGTAACAATGAATGACAGGTGAGCTGTAACAATGAATGTCAGGTTCCTGTGAAAACTCAGTTAATGTCCTCCTATTTATAACTTTAATGTGGCCAGGCTGCAGACTATAGTATACAATATGTTTTCTTTTTTTGGTGTATTGTTCCATATTTAGTGCTTCAGCAATGGTAGAATTAACATATACTAGAGGGTTGGGCTCAGGGCTGTATCAATGAATGTCAGGTGAGCTGTAGCAATGAATGTCAGGTGAGCTATAACAATGAATGTCAGGTTCCTGTGAAAACTCAGTTAATGTCCCCCTATTTAGAACTGTAATGCAGCCAGGCTGAAGACTATAGTATACAATATGTTTTCTTTTTTTGGTGTATTGTTCCATATTTAGTGCTGCAGCAATGGTAAAATTAACATATACTAGAGGGTTGGGCTCAGGGCTGTAACAATGAATGTCAGGTTCCTGTGAAAACCCAGTTAATGTCCCCCTATTTATAACTGTAATTTGCCCAGGCTGCAGACTATAGTATACAATATGTTCTTTTTTTGGTGTATTGTTCTATATTTAGTGCTGCAGCAACAGCAAAATTAGCCTGTGCTAGAGGGTTGGGCCTGGGGCCGCTGTTAGCAATAATGGGACCAGATAAAGCCTACTTGACAGGGTGCCACAAAATATCAAAACAATATTTTTGCTAAAAAATACACTAAAATCATTATTAAGGGATCCAATAGAACATAACAAAAATTCCTGCTAAATTTAAAAGATAAAACTGTATTGAGTTAATAAATAAAGCTCTGTTTGTGAGTGAGGTACTGGGGCTCATCCATATGGGTGCTGTGACCTGTACAGTGTGAATTTGTGGGGGGTTTTTTGTGTGTGTGGCTGGAGCTGTGTGCAGGCAGTCTATGTTATGTTATAGGGACACAGCAGTTACACAGTCGCAAGCCTTAATCACATGCTGCCCAGCCACTGTATAAATACGGCGGCAGGGCGGCACGGGCAGGCAAAACCACGTTTTAAAACGTGTGTTTTGTAAACAGGTAGGAGGCGCGCTGCCGCCCTACATGTCCCGCCGATCACAGCCACGGATGTCAGTCGCCGGGTCACAGCCGATCCTTACCGGCTATCTCCCGGCGATCAGCGGCAATCAGTGATAGAGAGCACAGCTGCAGTAGCTGTGCTTTCTGTCACTTCTCTGACAGCTCGTGGACAAGCTGATCGGGACAGAAGAGTTTCTCTCTCTCGATCAGCCTGTCCCCATCCAGCACACACCCCCGCCCCCTAGTAAAACACTCCCCCTCACACAGATAACCCTTCCCTGAAAAATAAAGTTAACCCC